TGCAAAGCACCTGCTCAGGCTCAGCTGCTGGCCCTGCTGCTTCATCATCCCCTGCCTTATCATGAACCACAACATTGTCGCCGTCCATGATTGCTGCCCGTGCCGCCGTTCCTCCTCCTCCTCCTCCTGCTCCTGCTATAGCTGAGGCTGCTGCGACTGCAGTTGTTACCTTCCCAACAGCACCCCATCTCCCTCTCCCGGCCTCCTTCTTTCCAGAAGCAGCACCCAGATCCTTCAATTCCCCCTCTACCCTCTGCATGTTCCTCTTCAGCATCCCCATCTCCACTCCTTTTGACTTCACCTCGGATTCCAACTGCTTGATCCGCTCGTCCTTCCTCTTTCCTTCCTCCTCCAAAAGTGCCTTCGCTCTCTCACACTCCCTCACCTGGGCTTGCAACTTGGCCACTTCCCCAGCCTCCCCTCCAGCGCTATTATCCCCTCCTCCCCCTCCTCCTGCTCCTCCCTTCCAGCTATAACTTCTACTCACCGCCCTCCCTTTCTCCGATAACCCTCCACTGCCACCAGCACTGCCAGCATCACCCGTCTCTCCCACGTCCCCTCCGCCTGCTCCTCCCTTGCCTAGTCCCGCCAGCTGCTGCTTCTGCTCCCGCACCTGCTGCTGCAGCTTCTCTACCTTGCTCTTCAGATCCATGTTCTTCATACGAAGCTTCCCCATTTCAACGTCTAGAGCCACAGCACTCTCTGCTTGCTCCCTGCGCTCTGCTGCCCCACTCGCCTGCCTCTTCCCCTCCTCCACCTCCCTCTTTAGCGCTTCTATCTCTTCCTCCTTCTCTGCTACTACGCCCTTCAGCACGCCATCCCTCTTCCACACTTCAAGCTCCTCTTGTGCCGCCCCAAACTGTTCCTGTAACTCCTTTGTCTCCTTCTGCAGCTTATCCACCTTCATCTTTAGATCCCCGTTCTTTATTTTCAGCTGCCCGACCTCCACCTCCAGCCCCACCGTGTACTGATCTTTCTCTTTCGCAACTGCCCTGCTCTCCTCCTCCTTGATTTCCGTACTCGCCCCAGCGCCAGCACCACCACCAGCAGAAGATTCGATTGCAGGCATCATCCGGCCGCCCATGACCCACATCCTCTTACCGCCCGACCCAGAAGGCACGCGCGTCAATGCGCGCCCTCCGGGTGTTGATGGCGCGGGGATGGCCGCACCGGGGGTAGGGGGAAGCACAGAGGCGGAAGCGGAAGCGGCGGCGGCGGCGGCGGCGGCGGCAGCGTCAGAAGCACCAGCGGAAGAAGCAACAGAAACATCGCTGCCAGTCGGACTGGCGAGATCACTACCCAGCCCTCCCCCAACCCTACGCTCTTCCATATCCTGTCTCCCCCCGCCTTCTTGGCCGTCCTGCTGCTGCAGAGCCTTCAGCTGAGCTACCTCCTCCTTACTCGTTTTAAGCTCCTCCCGCAGCTTCTTTATAGTCACCTGCAGGTCCATCTGCTTTATCCTCCACTGCCCCGCTTCAACCTCCCTTGCAACCTCCTCCGTTTCCTTCCCGGCCTTCTCGCCTTCCGCCGCCTCCGCCTCCCCTTTCTCCTGCTCACTCCCCCCATCCGCGCACACCTCCCCTTTCCCGCCCACGCCGTCCGCTTCTTCTCCCCCTCCCGCTCCGCCGGCCTCTTCCGCCTTCCCCCATTCTTCCTTCAGCTTCTCGAGCGCAATCGCGGCTTGCGCCTCTCTCTCCCGAGACTCTTTAAGAGCGGCCGTGAGGCGGTCTAGCTTCAGCTTGAGGTCCATATTCCTGATCCGCAGCTGCCCAACCTCCACTTCTAACGCCACGTTCTTCTCATCGTCTCGCATTCCCGCCCTCCCCCCTCCGCCCGCACCCGCGCCTGCGCCTCCGCCCCCAGCCGCGCCGTCCGCGCCTCCCCCTCCCCCCGCGCCAGTTTCCGCCTCCCCTTCCACGATCTCCCGCAGCATCGCGTTTTCCTCCTCGAGTGACTCTAACGAGACCAGCTTCTGCTTCAGCGCTTCCTCCTCCTCCGCGGCGGATTTAACGCGCCGCAGTAGCGCATCGAGCTGCTCCTTAGCACGACCCACCGCTTCCCGCGCCAACGCTATTTTCGACACGTCAGCCACCTCCTCCTCACGGTTCTCCTCCTCCTTACTCTCCTCCCCGTTCTCCTCCCCTACCGACCTCAGTTTAGACAAAGCTTCGACAAGCTCCTTCCACGCGCTTTGCCCGACTTCCTCCTCGAGTCCTTTTCCCAAGCTGCCCAAAATCTGCCCCAAAAAAATCCCGATCGCGTCCGGATCCTGCCCGAGGTCAAACCTCCCGCCTCCCCTTTCCTTCCCCCCACCCTCCGCCGTTGCCGCATCTTCCGCAAGCTTGGCGGAGGACGCGCTGGGGCTGATCATCGGGGACAAAAGATCAAGCTGCCCGTCTTCTCCAGCCGCCGCGTTCGCAGTAGCGGCGGCGGCGGCGGCGGCGTAGTGCGTGGAGGTGACAAATAGCTGCTCGTAGCGCGCGGCGAGAGTTAAGTAACGGCTCTGCAGCAGGTCGACTTGTTGCAGGATGTCGGGGCGGCGCGCGTACATCAACTCTGCGCGCTTGCCGAACGAGTCCGCGCCTTCGTCTAGCAGCTTATGAACGGCGTCAGCGCACTTAGAAACGTCTGCAAGACACGGGAGAGAGGAGGGAGGGAGGAAGGAGAGGGTGGGAGGCGAAAAAAGGGAGAGAGGGAGCGGAAAAATTGCCGGGGAAACACGGCGCTTTTGTCTAAGAGCGTGGGAACTGCGTGGAAGCATATGGGTGAAGGCTGTGAGGTAGGGGAGAGGAGGCAGAGTTGGAGCAAGATATGAGAAAGTGGAAGAGAAAGCTAGCGAGGGAGAGGAAGATGGATGAACGAGGGGCGGTAAGACGGAAGCGGAAGCACCGCGTTTACCGGCACGCGCTACGTCGGCAAGCCACCCTCATCTGTTACGTCAGGCGCGTTTTTACAAAATAAATTGCGAAACCTTGTTAAAAAAAATCGGGAATCGATGTGAGAAGGAACGTGCGAGATGCAGCAAGAAACCGAGAACTTTAGACCGAATAACCAACATATTTTCACACCACCTAAAAAAAAAAAAAAAAAATCTGGCACTAATAACAGCTACTACCGGGTGGATGGTATCAGCTTAAATAATGATACAGCAAATCGGCATTGTCATTGCCTCACCTTGGGTGTTCACTTTAAGCCATCGATTAACAGCCGACTGCGACAAGAGTCGCTTCCCTTGATCGCCGCCCTTCATTGTCCGTGCTCCGCCACCCCCGCCAGGTGTTAATATGGAACCACTACCTTCGCCCGCTGCCGCCGTACGCAGCTTCAGCTTATCCTTAAACTTTTCCATTGACGCGGGTTACGTTGTCGCGCGGAGAAAGATAATTGATGCAGCAGTTGACAAGGACAGCTAGGAATTGAGCCCGGTACTGGTAAACGTCAGCATAAGAACCTCAGGAAAATGCTAGCAGGGAATTCTTAGAATCTGGCCGAATGGGAAGCAAGCGCCACCTAACCACTCTCCGCCATTTCAATCGATGCCCCTGAGGATTGGAGTTTTTGAATGTCCCAGAGCAGAGGGGTTCCCTTCCGAACCGACCCACTGCAAGATGGGGCTGGCGCGGAACCCGAGGAGGTGGGCAGGGGCGGGCAGTTGGGCACGAAAAAAAGGGGAGGGATGAAGGGGCATGGGGAAAATTGGTAGTGCGAGGAGGGGGAGTGGGCGGGGTGCAGTGCGGTGACGGGTCGCTGGGGTGGAGGCGGCGGAGGGTGGTGGGGGGGCGGAGGGAGGTGCGTCAGGGCGTTGCGCAGCACACACCCTGCGGAGCGTGTAAGGCAACACGCCAGTTCCGCTGACCGTGGGAAAGGAATGTTTCCTTCCCCGCCAGGGCAACGGTTCAAGTCCACAGCTCCACACGCGCGAATCTTGAATGACGCGATTATCGATGCGCGCGACGTTGATGTGGGGGGAGCCGATGGCGGATCGCCTCCCCTGTCGAAGTAAGGGCATTTTCCCTTAATGCCATGAACATTCCGGGCTACGTTCGGAGAAGCTCGACCGTTTAAAGTGCTGGACTTGCATGGCACCCGTGGCAGTTAAGGGCCTCGTTTGGGCCTTCCCGTGAATCCAAGTTTTGGTTTCAGTTTTGAAGGACCCCCCCTCTCCAATTCCCGCCCCTTCCTCCCCTCCCTCTCCCCCGTTGTTTTTGCCTACGATGAATGGGATGTAGGTGTGTAGATGAGCAGTTAGTATGCTCCTCCCTTCTGCTAAGTAATAGATTCACAGCATCCTTTGATTCAATAGGAAAAGGTACATGGTTCAAAGTAGCCCGGATTTCAAGGGTTAACTTTTACCTGCGCCCGTGAAAATCAGGGCCAGAATTTGAGCAGCTCAGGACTCAAAGTTCTAGGCCCAGGGACTTCGACAGGCCTTCGCCTCATGTCAAGCGATCTTTTCGGGGTTTGTTTGAAAAGTTTTGTGCAGCTACATTCTTGACCTGGAAGGGTGCATGCACACTCAATTTGACTGAAATACATGAATACAGTACTTCATTAACGTAACTCGTATAAGCAAACTATAACGTTCAAATCGTTCTTGCACACTCTGCACTACATTCCCTCACAAGACTGGGTGATTGTAATTCTTTGTTATCCTACCCTCTTCAGATGTTCCCTTCAGGGTAAAAATCCCACACCAGACGAGTCTACAAGTACAAGGTCACCCACATGTATGACACATACCTTAAGCTAGTTTTGAAACCAAGTATAACTGGCCATGTCTGCCAGCAAACAAATTTCACATCCTTTACAAACTCTTTCTTTTCAAAAAAGAGAGACCTTCGAAACCCGAGAGAACTTGAGCTGAAATGAACCAAAACGTGAAAGAATAACGGTGAGAGGAGGTACACCAGGCAAGTTATAGTGGGAGTAACAGCTACAAATTGCACAGGAGGCATTGTTGCAGAGCAAGGACTTCTTACCAGCTGTATTGCAAACTGCAGTCAAGATCCAGCAGGCGCTGCATTGACCGATTTCAGCAGATCAGCAAGCTCGCCAGACTGATGCAGGGATGAGATGTTTGGGAATCGTAGGAAGGTAGAGGAGGGAGGACGGAAGGATGTAGGGGGGAGAGGAGGATTGTAAGGTGTGTGTTTGTCCAACAAGAAAACGGCAGAGGTAGAGGCGGTAAAAAACAGGTCATGTGACACAAGACGCTTGCGACCCATGCCTTACATCGTTCTTGTGCACCACATGCCACATTTTATACCATACACAATACATCCTTCATGAAATGCGTGGCATCCCATACCTGGTGCATCTTCATGACGATATCGCAGCCACCAATAAACTCCCCGTTCACATAGACCTGCGGGATAGTGGGCCACTCACTGTGGCGGGAGGTAAGCGTATATTCATGGGAGAAAACGGAACATTAGGTGATAAGACATAGTAAGAAATATGCAACCGTGAGGTACACACCACACCAATGGTACACCAACAACAACAAGCGCTAATGCAGGGATGCACAACAAGCGTCAAAATGCACTGAGATGCAGGGTTCCAACCAGGTTCGAAAAGTGTTTTTGTTAACCCACCTAAAAGATTTGATTCCGTCTCTGAGGTCTGGATCCTCCAGAACGTTCACTCCCTTGAAGTCCACACCTACACCAGGGGGCGTTGAAACCGTGCATGAGCGACAGGAAGAAGGAGCAGAAAGAAAGAAGCAGAACAGAGACAAAACGGAGAAAATGATTAAGAACGCAAGATGGGGTGGAACAATAAAGAGAGATGGAACGGAAACAAGTGTGCAGGGAGAAAATGGGAGGGGAGACGGGAGGAGCTAGAGCTGGGGAGAAGAAGTGGCAAGATGAATTAAGATGGGAGAGTTGTGGCTACCATGATTACCATGCGGAGCAGGCATGCACGTGTCGCAGCACTGGAAACATATTTTTTAGGTGGCTCAACAAGCATAGTGGCGGGCACGCGCACGACAGCAGCAATATAATGAAACGACGACCTTTGGGGTGCTTCAAAGAGCATGGCAGAACGTGCATGGCGAAGCATGGCAGTGAGTGAGGCAGCATACCATGAGCAGCGAGCACGCGCACGACAGCAGCACTGAAGCCACACATGGGCGCGGATGGCAGGCCCTTCATGAACACCACCACCGGGCATGACTTGATGTCCTGAGAGAAAAAAGGAGGGGGGCGACCGGACAAGGGAGGAAAGGGTTAGTATAGCGGGAGACTGCCGCCCTGCATGTCCTGAAGCCGCACATGGGCGCGGATGGCAGGCCCTTCATGAACACCACCACTGGGCATGACTTGATGTCCTGAGAGGGCGGGAGGGAGGGGGCGAGAACCAGGGGGCGGGGAAGTGTCAGTATACAAGGGGGAAGAGGGGACATCATGCAGGCGGTATGAGCAAGTGTGCTATAACGAGTTTTAGTGCAACGGGACACTGAGCGCACGCTCTTGCCACGCAGAACGAATTTCATGTCGCCACGCGTCACGCCTCTAGTACAATATCATGCGTTTACCTCTTTAATTTGCTCGTACTCGTACAATGGCAGCACATACCCGTTATATGCAGCATCGGCGTCAACCTCCGCATTAAGCCGTCTCTCAAACGCAACACAAAAAAAGAAAAACACGAGACCTGGCAGCACGAACCAAAATTTCATGAAATTTGCTTACCTCCTGAATCTGAACATGCACCGGCAGCACCCCCTCGGTTGCCTTAAGCTGCGGTTTGAAATCGTCGTGCGTCTCAACCCCTTCGTCGTTGGGAGGAGTCGCGCCGCCGCTTCCAGGCGCTGAACCCGCCGCATGTGACGGCGCTGACCCCGTTTGCAGCCAGCGCGCGCCGATTAAAGTGCCTGAAAACGAGGGGAGCGAGGCCGGACGGAGTTAATAGGCAGACCACTGGAAGGAAGAAAGTACGAGCGGTTCAGAAAAGGAATCCATAATATCCAGATGTTTCAGATAGAAAACAATCTGGCCCGGAGAATTCGGGGACAATCTGGGTCTTGGGTTAGAGTGCTGACTTGCGCGATTTAGAAATATAGGGATCGTTGCAGAAACTAGCGGTCGGAGGGAAGAAAGCGAGAAAGGCGCTACCAAGAGGGAGGATCGGCGCGGCGGGAGAAGTCGCGAGGATCCTTCGCGAAAAGGCGAGGAGAGGCGAAAGAACGGGTCGTGACGCAGCCATGGCAGAGAACACGCGCGATTCACGGGAGAAGATCCGGTCCCGTGGATCGTCGCGACGGTCGAAATCGACGGCGGGAGGAGGAAATGGTATGGGGGTGAGTCGAGACGAAGAGAAAGGCGAGGCGCAAGGTGTCTCATAAAGCAAGGGCGAGTAGACGTGGCTGACCGAGGAGGAACAACGAAATGGATGAATGAACAGAGTCCCATAATGCAAAAACTGCACTCTAGAGTATGTACACCTAAATTCAACTCTCTTATTTGATCATTTCCAAGTTGAATCTAAGCCCCAGAGTATCTACAGCCTATCCACACCAACCGAAGGGAAGGATGAAAGAAACCAACCATAACAAGACTCTCTAAAGCTAAAGAAAAAAAAGCATAACTATATACAAACATACAATTTATATACATCATCCGTGCGCACTCATTCAAGTGGTTAGTCCATTAGGGAGACTCCTCTGAGGCTGCCCTACAACCTTCCCTCCAGTGTCCGGAAACTCTTCAAACCCAGGCAAAGGGCGTACACTCCCATCTCGCCCCACTTGGACTAGGTACTTGACCAAATGCCAACTCCACCGGTGCCTCTCCAGCCCACTGCATCCACCTGTCCTGCGCTGATTGGTTGACGGCTCGCATGCAATCCAAAGTCCAGGGGTGGTCGTGGATGGGTGAGAGAAATCCCAGATGCTCGGCCCATAAGCCCATGCGGAAGCCATGCACCTGATCATGCCATGCACAAGTGGTATCAGAGCCACATCAGCAAGGCAACAAGGGAAAAAGACACCAAGTGAAGAGGAGAGGTCAAGGACAACAACCATGTACACAAACATGAGTCCTACTAGACCATAGACCCCTTTAAACACAGCAAAGGGGAAGGGGAAGGGGAAGGGAAGGGGGAGGGGGAGGTGAAGGGGGAGGGTTTGTGGGGGTGGGAGAAACACAAACAGGACTGGTATTACAAGGCACAGAAACAGTCAACTTTTCCTCCTCTCCTGCCTGCCTCCTACACCTCTCACCTGCCCTTTGGATGCATACCCCCTCTCACCTGCCCCTTGATGCAACCCCGCGCTCGCTCCAACTCTTCCCCCCCCCCCCCCCCCTTCTCCCTCCTGCTCCTCTCACCTGCCCCTTGGGAGCGTGCCCGCGCTCGCTCCACGTGTGGTGCGGCTGGTAGGCACCCACTGCCATCTCAGTGTCTCTCGCCCCGTCCATGGACCGCTGGTTGATGTTGGCTGACCCCACCACCACATACTCATCTCACTGTCTCCCCCCCCAACCATTAAATGCTTTTGACTATAACAAGAAATCACACCCCGCACCAACCCCTTAGGCGCATGCCTGCTCGCCCCACCTCTTTCTCTCCCTCCCTCCTCTCTCACCTGCCCCTTGGGTGCGTGCCCACGTTCGCTCCACGTGTGGTGTGGCTGGTAGGCCCCCACAGCCATCTCCGTGTCTCTCGCCCCGTCCATGGAGCGCTGGTTGATGTTGGCTGACCCCACCACCACGTACTCATCATCCACCACCATCATCTTGGCATGCACGTAGATCATTTCCCTCCGGTGCTGCAACACCGAGTTCTGGTGGGAAGGGAGAGGGAGAAAGGAACTTCACTCTCATGTGTCGCTAATCCCACCACCACATACTCATCGTCCACCACCATCATCTTGGCATGCACGTAGATCATTGCTCTTCTGTGCTGCAACACCGAGTTCTGCCATGGGGACGCACGAAACGAGGTACGAGGACCTTTTGTGTGTGTGTGTGTGTGTTTTTTTTTCCAGTGAGAGCACAAATCGGCTCGCCTGTGCTGCCGCACCGAGGGCTGAAGAGTCATGGTCAGTGGGGAGGGAAGGGAGGGACGCGGATGGGCGGAGGTGGGAGGACGGATGGTGGAATGGAAGACGCATAGACAGTGCCACGCGAAGGACTTGATCGTTTATAAGTGACCTTTTGAATTCATGAGAAAGGTTGAGAACAGTTGAGAAAGGTTGAGAACGGGTAAGGGAGGGTAAGTGAAACCCCTCAAAAGATTTCTGAAGCGCCCTGACGAAGACCCCTCAGGCACAGCAGACATGTGAATCAGACACAGCAGACACCCGGAAATACAGCGGCAGCGGGATGACAACTCAGGAGACGGGGGTCACTGGGAACGGACGGCAGCCGTTGACCAGTGAGTCGACTCACAAGAATACGAGTCAACGGCAGCAGCGGAATGGGGAGTTGGGAAGGGAACTCACAAGAACAGGGTCGCTGCTCAGAGCTGGCATGTGGTGCTGATCAGACGCACGGGGAGACGCCGCCTGGTTACTGTTGCTGTTGCGGTTACCACCCTCGGTCCGGTTACCAGCGGTGTCACTAGCAGCAGCAGGGGCAGGGGCGGCAGCGGTGTCGATATCGCCAGATGGCAGCTCCCGGTTGGCCAGGCAGAAGAAGCTGAGATAGTCACATGGATGGGGGCTATGAGTTGATGCTGATGCTGCTCCTGCATCCTCCCCTGCTGCTGCCGGTCGTGAGGCCACATCTGCTTCCGGCTCTAGCTGTCCGACCAGCCCTTTAACTGTCTCTTTTCGCTTCTCCCCTCCTGTCCGCCCCATCTCCCCTCCCTCCACTCCCTCCTCTCCCACCCCTCCCTCCCCTCCCTGCCCACCAGCATTCACCCCGGCAGTCCCCTGCCCCTCCCACTCCCCTGCCTCGCCAATCACCGTCCTCTCCTGCCCCCTCTCCGCCTCCCACCCCCCCTCCTGCCCCAGAACTTCCCCTCCCGTCGCCCCTGCCTGCACCTCATCCAGAGCCCACGCAATCACACGGTACATGGCCTCCATGGTGCGCGACTGGGGGGGGGTGGTGGGGGGATGGGGGGGAAGGGGAGGAAATGCCAGGATTGGAAGATGCCCAGGTAGGCCAAGAGGACAGTAGGGTGCAACAGCCCTCCCCCCCCCTCGCCTCTGCCTGCACCTCGTCTAGAGCCCGCGCAATCACACGGTACATGGCCTCCATGGTGCGCGACTGGGGGGGAATGGGGGGGGAGAGAGAGGGTTGGAAATGGGTGGAGAGGAGTGGAGAAAGGCCAGGTAGGACGGTACGGTAGGGTGCAAAAGGCCTGCCTTCCCCTCCCCCCGCCCCTGCCTGCACCTCGTCTAGAGCCCGCGCAATCACACGGTACATGGCCTCCATGGTGCGCGACTGGGGGGCGTTGGAGGAAAAATAGGGGTAACAGGGAGGAAATGGGGGAAAAAAGGGGCGGCGGCGGGGGAGTCGGAGAATTGCCGATGGATGGAGAAGAGTGGAGAGGGGTGGAGAGGGGTGGAGAGGGGTGGAGAATACCCGAGTAGGACAACATGGCGATAGGGTGGGGAATGGGGGGCAAGGGAGGGAAGGGCGGGAGGGGTGAATGGGGGGGATGGGAGGGAAGCGATAAGTAGGGGTAATGGGGGAGAGGTCGAAGAGAGAGGCTTGTTCACAGTTGGAGAAGCGTAAAAAATGTGATTACAGGAAGTGCTCTTGTTCATTTCAGTACAGGGCAGCATGGGATGGCAGGAAGCCCTGACCTGCCAGAAGAAGATTTCCTGTGTGGCGACGCCTGTGGCGTCCCCCTCGGGCCACATGGGCACGACCACGTACGCGCTGAATCCCAAACCCCACCCCCCCAGAATCCCCATCCCCCCTTCTCCCAGAGTCACTGACCTGCCAGAAGAGAATCTCCTGCGTCGCAGCGCCTTTCGGGTCCCCCTCGGGCCACATGGGCACGACGACATACGCGCTGAAGCGCTCCCCGCTCTTGATCTTCCTCGCAATCTTGAGCGCCATCTCCATGGGGATGCTGTGCCACGCACCGCTGCCCTGGTGCGACGGCCACGCGTAGGCGGAGCCCAGGAAGTACTGGTTCTCGATGTGGATGAAGTGGTGCGCTCGGCGAATGGCGGCGATGTACGCGTCTTGAATGCTGCGATCCACTGTCACTCCCTTGTCGCCCACCAGAGACTGAGTGGGGAGAAGAGGTGCGGGAGAGGTGGGCGAGAGGGTTGGGCGTGAGGGGCGAGGGGGGCGAGGGCAGGGAGAGGGAGGGAGGAGGGTGGAAGACAGTGAAAGGGAGGGTGGAAGAGGGCAGGGGAGAGGGTGGGAAGGAGAGACTGAGTGGTTGGGTTAAGCGAGTGGTCGGCAGAGGCGGGGGAGGGAAGGTAAGGCGGTAAGGCACAAATACTTGAATGACTTTTGAGTCGACTCAAAAGTCACCTCGTTATTTTGAGTCGACTCAAAATTCACCTCGTTATTTTGAGTCGACTCAAAAGTCACCTCGTTATTTTGAGTCGACTCAAAAGTCACCTCGTTATTTTGAGTCGACTCAAAAGTCACCTCGTTATTTTGAGTCGACTCAAAGGTCACCTCGTGGGAGGGAAGGTAAGGCGGTAAGGCACAAATACTCGAATGTTGAGGCGCCTTAGAACTGTCTTACCTCACGTGCTAACGCACAAGGAGCCCCGGGAAGGGGAGCAGGGGGCAAGGCAAACGTAAACACAAAGCGAAGGGAGAGTGGAACTAGAGTCCGGAGGTGAAGGCGGAGGAAGCAGAAACGAAGGAGGAGGACAAACAAGCAACGCTTCAGCAGCAGCAGCAGCAGCAGAAGCAGCGATGAAATGAGGTGTGACCTGTGCCATGGCGTGGATAGGATTCTTTGGGAAGCCCACCACAGAGCCTGAATCAATGGACCGGAACAACTGTCAGGGAGACGGGTTCGCCAGGTGGGGAGAGAAGGAGAGCAGAGAGAAGGAGTTGCATGGGTGATGGGATGGGACGTTTTGTAAGTCAAGCGGACTGCTACTGAAGTGTCTGCAGCACAGCACAGCACAGCACAGCAAAGAACCGAACAGCACCGTATAGGACAGCACAGAATCCCTACCTGCACATGCCACGTCTCGGGGTCATCATCCCCGGTGGCCATAACGCTCATATCATCATCAGCATCCACAGCCCTAGCGGCAACAGCCCTCGCAGCCGCAGCAAGACAAGCAAAAAACACACAGCAGAGCAAACCCACAGCACTGCACCGCACCGCACAACACCACACAGCACAGCACAGCGCAGCACACCCACCTGCACATGCCACGTCTCGGGGTCATCATCCCCGGTGGCCATGACACTCATATCGTCATCAGCATCCACAACCCTAGCGGCAACAGCCCTCGCAGCCGCAGCATCAGCAGCGCCAGACGCGCCACTCCCCACGCCGCCCCTCAGGGTGTGCAGCCTCCGCATCACTGTCTCCCTTATGCTCCTGCTGCGCCTTGTCTCCGCTGCTGCCTGTGCTGCTGCCTCCGGTGCTGCTGCCTCTGGTGCTTGTTGTGCTGCTGGCTGTGGTGCTGCCTGTGCTGCAGCCTCTGGTGCTGCTGCCTGCTGCTGCTCGGTTGCTGGGTCAACTCCCTGCCATCGTTCCCTCTCTTTGCTCTGCTCTCCCAACACCCTCCTTCCCTCCCTCCCCTCCTCCCTCCCCTCCACGCTCACCTCCTCCCTCCCACTCTCCCGCCCTTCCTCCCTCCCCACCTCCCCTCTCTCCCCCCACTTCCCAACCACACGCCTGTTCCAATACCCCCGCCCTTCCTCCCCGCCAACCACGCTCCGCCTCCCCATCCTATACCCCCGCTTATGCAGCACCACCGCACTGCCATGCAACGCCCTGATATCCCCGCGGTGCAGGCGCTTCCTGGGGGAGGCGCGCGCGCCCTTGGTGGCGCGCAGCCAGCGCTGCTCGAAGTTGGTGAGCAGGTCCCACACGATGGAGCCCTCCACCTTGCACTGTATGTCGTGCCATGGCTGCCTCGGTCCTGTGTCGGGTTTTGTCTGAACGTTTGGGGGGGGGGGTTGGGGGTGGTACCGAGGGGTTGGGGAAGGGATCGGGGGTGGCAAGTTGGTGAGCAGGTCCCAGGCCACTGCGCCTTCCACATTGCACTGCACGTCGTGCCATGGCGCTCAACCGCCCCCATCGCCCTCAACTCCCATACCGCTCTCAACCCCACCCCACCGGTCTCACTCTCACTCTCACTCCCCACTCAGCACTCCTCCTGGCCCCCCTCTCAGGGCACCTTGATGTTGTGTTGCTAAAAGTCTCTGCATGCAGTGTGCAAAACAGCAACGGCCGCTCAACCAACGCACTCTCACACCTCACCAGCCCACGCCTTCCACTCTTCCACCCCCCCTTTCCACCCCACCGCACCTTGACGTTGTGCTGGTAAAAGTTCCCCTGGTGCTCCGCATGCAGGGTGCGGAACAGCAACGTGCTGAGAGCAGCCCCCACTAACCTCACCTTGGCCACCCCCCCCCCCTCCATCTCACCTTGACGTTGTGTTGGTAAAAGTCCCCCTGGTGCTCCGCGTGCAGTGTGCGGAACAGCGGGTGCTCCTGTGTGTCGTACCGCCCCACCGACAGGTCTATCCCGCCCATATACCCCACCAGGGGACGCCGCGCCTCCCGTGCTGCTCCTGCTGCTGCTCCTGCTGCTGCTGCCGGTTGTGCTGGTGTTGCTGATGCTGGTGCTGCGTCTGCAATGAGGAACTTCTGGTGGTGCGTGTACATGCTCTCCACGAGCTGGGAAGGGTGGGGGGAGCGGAGGGAAGGGGAGGGGCGGGCGAGGGAGGGAAAGAGTGATGTGAGGTGACCTTCTGAGTGGACTCAACAGGCAAGATGTGTGAAGCTTCTGGTGGTGCATGCACTTGCTCTTTACGAGGTGTTGTGGGGGAAGTGGGTAAGACGGTGCGGGGCGGGGAATGCAGGAATGGAAAGAATGGTAGGGCCGGAGATGTGGATGGGTGTTGAGAGCAAAAGCATTTCTGGTGGTGCCATGAGTGTAGGGGATAACAGTGGTGCGCGACACCAGGGGTAGAGGGGTGTCCCACATGGTGCAGAGTGGTGGAATGCAGTGCAAAGGAAGCTTGTGCGACCTAGGAAGAGCGGGAGCACCTGTTTCCTTGCCCAGGAGAGGCGTTTGTCGGGGATGCGGGGCATCTTGAAGCACACGACCTTGGTGTGGCGGAAGGAGTACGTCTCCTCGTCCAACGTGCCCATCATGCCCGCCTGCCGAGTGTTTGCGGGGGTTGAGGGGAACGCACAGAGACACATATGTGCATGCACGTGTGCGTGCGAGCGGCTTGCACACACAAGCCGCTGGTTGAGTAGCTCTCCTCGACCAGCGAGGCCATCATGCCCGCCTGCCACACCCGTGTGTGGGGGTTGTGGGGTGTGGAGAACGCTGGGGAACGATGGGCATGGTCATACACACACATACATTTGCAAGCACAAGGTACGTCTCCTCTTCCAATGCGCCCTGCCCATCCACCCTCCCTCCTCCCTCCTCACCGTTCTGAAAGCCGTGTTGTCCCTCCCTCCTCGCTATTTATGATAGCTTGATGTTGCGTTGTCATATAAAGTAGCTACATAGAGTAATGTTTGGAACGTCATAAGTAGTTATATAGTGGTGGTTAGGGTTCTTGGCTCCTGGTAGTACATAATCGGGTCATTTCTAGGGGTAGGGAACATCTAACATCCTAAGTCCTTCGTCCCAGATAAGCACCAGCACGCTCAGCCTGTCGGGACGCCTAGAAGCTCGAACACACCTCCTTGCCACCTCGTTGCCACCTCGTTGCCACCTCGTTGCCACCTCGTTGCCACCTCGTTGCCACCTCCTTGCCACCTCCTTGCCACCTCCTTGCCACCTCCTTGCCACCTCCTTGAAAGCTCACCATGCGACACCACCTCAGCGCCTCTCACCGTTCTGAAGGCAGCATTGTTGAGGGACGTGCAGTTGTCCCAGATTAGCGCCAGCACGCGCGTGTGGGCTTGCATGCACGCACCAAACACAAGCTCGGATCTCACTCAAACCCACGCACACCCCCTCCCTCCTCCCGTCTCACCGTCCTGAAAGCCGCGTTGTTGAGCGACGTGCAGTCGTCCCAGATTAGCCCGAGCACGCGCACTCACTTGCGGAGTTTGAGACGCCTAGGAACACTCCACCTTACCACCTCCCTCCTCCCGTCTCACCGTTCTGAAAGCAGCGTTGTTGAGGGACGTGCGGTCGTCCCAGATGAGCACGAGCACGCGCACGCCCTGCTTGGCCTTCTTGATCAGCAGCTCGCCCAGCGGCATGTCCCCGTGCTCCGCCATCGGACGCGTTGTGTCGCGCATGAGCGCGATCTTGGTGCTCACGGACCAGCCGCCTATGTAGATCACCTCACGGGCGTCTAGAATCGTCCTGGAACGGGAGGGGGAGACGAGTGGTGCGGGTGGCAATGCCAAGGGGGGCATGGGGCGAGATGGGTCGCGCATGAGGGTTTTTTTTTGTGCGCACGGACCAGCCGCCTCTGTAGATCACCTCGCGAGCATTCAGCATCAAACTTGCACATCTCCCCCTAGAGGGAATGGGAGGGATAAAGAGGTGTTTGGGGGGGGGAAGAGGGGGGACATGCATTGGAATACAGGAGAGGTTGGAAGGGCATAGAAGGAATGGTGTCTGCGGAAGAGAAAGGCTCTCTTGCACAAACTTGCACATCTCCCCTACTCCCCTTTTGAGGCGCCTCAAAAGTCGTTCCTCTCTCCCCTGCCCTCTCCTCTCCCCTCACCCCCCAATCCACCCCCCAATCCACCCCCCAATCCCCTGAATAATTCGCCCCCCTCCGCTCCCCAATTTCCTGACTCCCTTAACCCACCTGCAGATGTCCTCCCAGCAATACCCCTCCTCGTACGTCCTCCCTCCTTCCAGCGTCGCTCGCGCCTCGAATGACGAGGACACGTGGCTGTCATGATACAGCGTCACGCGACACCCGCGCCGCAGCGGGAAATACGCGTCTTCCACGCGCGAGTCGCGCCCCCAGCCCGCCCCGTACGCGGGGTCCTTCGCGACGGGCGCGAGGCGGAGCGACAGGCGCACTTGCGCGGGATGCGCGGGCTGCGCGCGCCCCGACGTGGCGACGTCGAACCACGCGGAGACGGGGGCGTCTCCGGAGAGCACGGCGGTCGGCACGATGGCCTTGCCGATCAGCTTCGCGCCCACTGCGTCATCGTCCTGGGGGAGGCAGGGGAAGGAGGAGGGGAAGGGGGGAGAGAGGGGAGAGTGGGGAGAGGGGGATGGTAGAGGCGGGAGGTGTTAGAGGGCCCTACGATAGCAAGGGCCCTCGATGACCTTTGACTTGGCAGGTCGGCGCCTAACGACTGAGTCTACTCGGCACCGACGCACGAGTTCGGTGGCGGTCATTAGTGACTACGGGTGACTGTGAGCTACTGCAGCGAACTCGGCGGAATCGGTGCTAGGAATGACGAGTCTTGGGGGTCGTAGGTGCCTTGCTTGTGAGGCACGCTGCTCACTTGCTGTGTTCGCAGGAGTAGCGTGCACGGTGAGACATTCCGGTGCCGAGTTGGGTTGGAAATGTGCGGGGCGCGTTCACCCACCTGCACAGCACTTTCGTGTGGGTTGGGTTACTCGCAGCGCCACGCAACAATTGTGCAACTCTTGCTTGCCTATATATGTTTGTGTTTGCTTGTGTGTTTGATAATTGATATTGCAATTCTACTTGGCCCAAATGCTACTTCAATTCTCACAAAGTCCTTAGAGGCAAACGCTACCAAAACTCTACCAAGTTGCTGGCGCAACATCATTCCCATAGCAGAGACTCTCTCGCTATCGCTACGCTCTCTAATATATTCCTTCATGGTGCGGTGAGCGTGGAACGAACACGCATAGATTTCCGTCGACGTTCGTTAGTATACTCGCCTTGGCGTGCGGCGTTAGTGAAGGGCGCTCATTAATTTAAGTTGAACCTCTCTTAATTTCCCTCCAGTTACGTTCTCGGACCCAAGGATAGGGCGCTTGGTAATTTATTACCATTCGTCTGAGGACCCTTGTGAGGTGACCCCGAGACGAGGGATTCAAGGAAGGGACAATTTATTTTAATTTGTGGTACCTTGTAGAGACGTCGTAGAGGATGAGTACGGAGGAGACGAACGTGGAGGCCGGTAGTCTTCGCGCACTAGAGGAGGATCTCGAGGCCCGTCATTCTCGTGGTGAGCTTAGTGATCTAGAATACGAGCTCATGATGGAGGGATTACGCTCTCGTCAGCGTCGCGACCATCCCTCGCCACGTGTAGAGAATGTTGAGCAAGCTGCGGGAGGTACTAGTGCGTGGGATATGCTTGGCGATGGCGGAAATAGCGATGACGAGGAGCTTGATGGGTTGATGTCGCGCGGGGTCCTGCGAGGACCAACTCGGTTTAGTACGGCTAGCGTCGGCGGTGTACAGGAGCGTGTTCATCGTGCAGCAGCGTCACGAGAGCATGCGAATGTAGGACGGCGGAGCGTTGCTGGAGGAGGAAATGCGGAAGAGTACGATAGTGAGGCTATGCCGGGCGTTACCCCGATTGGATCGATGTCGAGGGACGAGGGAATAGCCCCCAACTATGGCTTCTTCAAATTCACTCCAGACAAGATCGTCGTCCCTAGGCCATTAGAAGGACGTCACGACCTGTCGACGTGGACAGAATCGATCGAGCCGCAGCTTGAGATCGCTCAGTTAAAGCGATTCATAGATGGCACCACTCCCATTCCACCAGCGCGTGCACTTGCACATCTCCACGGATTGGCTGATGTGCCACCCACCCTTCCCCACTGCATGCACACGTGTCGATACCCCGCTAAGTGTGCGTGTGTGTGAACATCTGTGTACATGGCTACCACGTTTGAGAATTCTCCAGAGTCATACAAGCAACATGTGTGCACTCACACGGCTCAAAGCCTCAGTCTCAATAGGTGGGTTGCATCAAATCAACCCCCCCCTTTCCCTTTGGGCCCCCCTGCCTGCCCCCCAACCAGGCACGAGGACGCCTCTCCACACAGACGCCGTCGACGGACGTGTGTGGGTGGGTGGGTGGCCAAGCTAGAAGTAACAGCAAGAGGCCATGTCTCCCCCCGTTTTCCCCTCCCCTCCCTCCCTCCCCTTCCCACCAGGCACGTGGACGCCTCTCCACACGGACGTGCTGCGTTCATGCAGCTGGAGCGTGAACGATTGTCGCCGCAAGCGATGACGGTTCCGCTCGAGACGAGACAACCCAAACCCCCTTTTCCACATCCCTCCGACCTTTCTCACTCTTCCCCACCGCTCTCCACCCCTCCCTATCCCTCCGCACCAGGCACGTGGACGCCTCTCCACACGGACGTGCTGCGCTCCTACAGCTGGAGTGTGAACGTGTGCGGGCGCAAGCGATGGCTGTTCCTGGATCCGGCTCAAGCCAAATACGTGCGGCACAAGCACACGCGTGCCACCGTATATGACGTCCATTCCCCTGTCGACCCCAATCTCTTTCCGGATTTCGACCAGGTAAGGTGAATGCCGTACACACTCACACTCTCTTGCAGGTTTGGAACGGGGTTGGTTGGGTTGGTTGGCCGATCCGTGTACAGCACAAGCACGTTGGGTCACCCCTCGCTCTCCTCTGACCCACTCTCTTCTCCTCCACAGTCGGTTATTCTTACCAGCTTACTCACGCTCCCTGCTTCCCGTACTCCCTCGCTCCTCCTCACTACATCACACACGCCTGCTCTCCCCCTCTCCTTCCCCTCCCCCCCTCCCCCCCTCGCCCCTCCAGGCGCGCTGGGCCATGGTGGAGCAAGGAGCAGGCGACGCCATCTTTGTGCCCAGCAACTGGTTGCATCAAGTCACCAACCTGGTCAGCCTTCCTTCCATCCTCCTTCTCTCCGCACTCTCACTAACCAGGTCGGTCGGCCCATCTCCCTCCCAACTCTCTTCGCACTCCTTCTCAACCCTCTCCCCAGCCTGGTCAGCCTCTCCTCCTTGCCCCTCTTCATACCTTCTCGCCCCTCCACCCCCACCCCACCCCCACTCACTCCTGCCCTTGTGTGCGTGCACTTATGACTTGCCTGCGGGTGTGCGGGTGTGCGTGTGTGCGGGTGTCTGCTTCTGGAAATACGATGCTTGTCGTCCACCTTCAATCCGAGCTACTTCCAGTGCCCAGATCCAAGTTTCCTTACAGTCTCTCACAACGTGCACTGCTCGCTCTCCTCCCATGTGCACGCAACCCCCTTCCATGGACCTCCCATCCTCCTTCCTCCACTTTTCCGCTCTCTCTTCTCTCTTTCCCTCCCTCGCCCTCCCTTCTCGAATGGTCCCTCTCTTCTCCTCCCTTTTCTGACTGCACCCCTTTTATGGCAGGAGGATACCTTTTCCATCATTCACAACTGAATCACCCCTTTCTGATGCTTCCACACGCACACTCGACCTCTCCCTCCCCTTGTGGCTGCGCTGGTTTCCCCCTGGCAGGAGGATACTGTTTCCATCAACCACAACTGGATAAACGCGACTAACCTCATGCACACTGTATGCCGTAATAGGTTCGGTTTTCTAGATGTTGTGCGGTGCAGTGCGGTGTTTGTTCAAATTTGGTAGGGGGGGGGTATCAATTTTGCAAGGGGGGCTGGTTTGTATGGTCGAAATGGGTGGGATGGGGTTCAGGTGGCGCGAAATTGAATTTCGCCTTGAAGTCGCGAAATTCGATTTCGGCCGCGGATTTTTGTTTTTTTCCGGGCTGACCGACATTTTTTTTGCCAAGCGTCTTGCGTCTAAACACGCGTCTTGCGTCTTGCGTCTAGACGCTGCGTCTAGACGCAAGACGCGTCGTGCGTCTTCCGCAACACAGGTCTTACCTCGTCTTACCTTTCCCCGTCCCAACCCCTCCGGTATCAGAATGCATTAAAGCAGGAGGAGGAAGTAGCGGTTTGACACCCAACCCCTCTCCACCGTTGCATTCCAACCCCAAACCCTGCAGTGGCGTCTGTTGAAGGAGGACGAGGAGGAGGCACGTGCAGCGATCTGCGATGTGGAGGAGATGGTGAAGCGGGGGCAGATGACGGAGAGGGAGTTCCAGCAGCTCGTCCAACGCAACCTCATGGCCAATTCAGGTGCGTGATGGATGGAGGGGTGATGGATGGGGGGGCGCCGGATGGGGGGGTTGCAGAGGATGAATGCATGGGAGTGTGAGGGGGGGCATGGGCATGCGTGCTGAATGGGTGAGTGCATGCACTGTGTAAGGGCATGTGTATATGGCTGCATCGGCATGGGTGTATGTGCACACATGGGCATGCATAGGCATGCATGGGTATGCACGGGGATGCATGGGTATGCATGGGCATGGGCATGCATGGGTATGCACGGGGATGCATGGGTATGCATGGGCATGGGCATGCATGGGTATGCATGGGGATGCATGGGTATGCATGGGCATGGGCATGCATGGGTATGCACGGGGATGCATGGGTATGCATGGGCATGGGCATGCATGGGTATGCACGGGGATGCATGGGTATGCATGGGCATGGGCATGCATGGGTATGCACGGGGATGCATGGGTATGCATGGGCATGGGCATGCATGGGTATGCACGGGGATGCATGGGTATGCATGGGCATGGGCATGCATGGGTATGCACGGGGATGCATGGGTATGCATGGGCATGGGCATGCATGGGTATGCACGGGGATGCATGGGTATGCATGGGCATGGGCATGCATGGGTATGCACGGGGATGCATGGGTATGCATGGGCATGGGCATGCATGGGTATGCACGGGGATGCATGGGTATGCATGGGCATGGGCATGCATGGGTATGCACGGGGATGCATGGGTATGCATGGGCATGGGCATGCATGGGTATGCACGGGGATGCATGGGTATGCATGGGCATGGGCATGCATGGGTATGCACGGGGATGCATGGGTATGCATGGGTATGCACGGGGATGCATGGGTATGCATGGGTATGCACGGGGATGCATGGGTATGCACGGGGATGCATGGGTATGCACGGGGATGCATGGGTATGCACGGGGATGCATGGGTATGCACGGGGATGCATGGGTATGCACGGGGATGCATGGGTATGCACGGGGATGCATGGGCATGCATGGGTATGCACGGGGATGCATGGGTATGCATGGGCATGGGCATGCATGGGTATGCACGGGGATGCATGGGTATGCATGGGTATGCACGGGGATGCATGGGTATGCATGGGTATGCACGGGGATGCATGGGTATGCACGGGGATGCATGGGTATGCACGGGGATGCATGGGTATGCACGGGGATGCATGGGTATGCACGGGGATGCATGGGCATGCATGGGTATGCACGGGGATGCATGGGTATGCATGGGGATGCATGGGTATGCATGGGCATGGGCATGCATGGGTATGCACGGGGATGCATGGGTATGCATGGGCATGGGTATGCATGGGTATGCACGGGGATGCATGGGCATGCATGGGTATGCACGGGGATGCATGGGTATGCACGGGGATGCATGGGCATGCATGGGTATGCACGGGGATGCATGGGTATGCATGGGCATGGGCATGCATGGGTATGCACGGGGATGCATGGGTATGCATGGGCATGGGCATGCATGGGTATGCACGGGGATGCATGGGCATGCATGGGTATGCACGGGGATGCATGGGTATGCACGGGGATGCATGGGCATGCATGGGTATGCACGGGGATGCATGGGTATGCATGGGCATGGGCATGCATGGGTATGCACGGGGATGCATGGGTATGCATGGGCATGGGCATGCATGGGTAAGCACGGGGATGCATGGGTATGCATGGGCATGGGCATGCATGGGTATGCATGGGGATGCATGGGTATGCATGGGCATGGGCATGCATGGGTATGCACGGGGATGCATGGGTATGCATGGGCATGGGCATGCATGGGTATGCACGGGGATGCATGGGTATGCATGGGTATGCACGGGGATGCATGGGTATGCATGGGTATGCACGGGGATGCATGGGTATGCACGGGGATGCATGGGTATGCACGGGGATGCATGGGTATGCACGGGGATGCATGGGTATGCACGGGGATGCATGGGTATGCACGGGGATGCATGGGTATGCACAGGGATGCATGGGCATGCATGGGTATGCACGGGGATGCATGGGTATGCATGGGCATGGGCATGCATGGGTATGCACGGGGATGCATGGGTATGCATGGGTATGCACGGGGATGCATGGGTATGCATGGGTATGCACGGGGATGCATGGGTATGCACGGGGATGCATGGGTATGCACGGGGATGCATGGGTATGCACGGGGATGCATGGGTATGCACGGGGATGCATGGGCATGCATGGGTATGCACGGGGATGCATGGGTATGCATGGGGATGCATGGGTATGCATGGGCATGGGCATGCATGGGTATGCACGGGGATGCATGGGTATGCATGGGCATGGGTATGCATGGGTATGCACGGGGATGCATGGGTATGCATGGGCATGGGCATGCATGGGTATGCACGGGGATGCATGGGTATGCATGGGCATGGGCATGCATGGGTATGCACGGGGATGCATGGGTATGCATGGGCATGGGCATGCATGGGTATGCACGGGGATGCATGGGTATGCATGGGTATGCACGGGGATGCATGGGTATGCATGGGTATGCACGGGGATGCATGGGTATGCACGGGGATGCATGGGTATGCACGGGGATGCATGGGTATGCACGGGGATGCATGGGTATGCACGGGGATGCATGGGTATGCACGGGGATGCATGGGTATGCACGGGGATGCATGGGCATGCATGGGTATGCACGGGGATGCATGGGTATGCATGGGCATGGGCATGCATGGGTATGCACGGGGATGCATGGGTATGCATGGGTATGCACGGGGATGCATGGGTATGCATGGGTATGCACGGGGATGCATGGGTATGCACGGGGATGCATGGGTATGCACGGGGATGCATGGGTATGCACGGGGATGCATGGGCATGCATGGGTATGCACGGGGATGCATGGGTATGCATGGGCATGGGCATGCATGGGTATGCACGGGGATGCATGGGTATGCATGGGTATGCACGGGGATGCATGGGTATGCATGGGTATGCACGGGGATGCATGGGTATGCACGGGGATGCATGGGTATGCACGGGGATGCATGGGTATGCACGGGGATGCATGCGTATGCATGGGGATGCATGGGTATGCACGGGGATGCATGGGTATGCACGGGGATGCATGGGTATGCATGGGCATGGGCAAGCATGGGTATGCACGGGGATGCATGGGTATGCACGGGGATGCATGGGTATGCATGGGTATGCACGGGGATGCATGGGTATGCATGGGTATGCACGGGGATGCATGGGTATGCACGGGGATGCATGGGTATGCACGGGGATGCATGGGTATGCACGGGGATGCATGGGTATGCATGGGGATGCATGGGTATGCACGGGGATGCATGGGTATGCACGGGGATGCATGGGTATGCATGGGCATGGGCATGCATGGGTATGCACGGGGATGCATGGGTATGCATGGGTATGCACGGGGATGCATGGGTATGCATGGGTATGCACGGGGATGCATGGGTATGCACGGGGATGCATGGGTATGCATGGGTATGCACGGGGATGCATGGGTATGCACGGGGATGCATGGGTATGCACGGGGATGCATGGGTATGCACGGGGATGCATGGGCATGCATGGGTATGCACGGGGATGCATGGGTATGCATGGGCATGGGCATGCATGGGTATGCACGGGGATGCATGGGTATGCATGGGTATGCACGGGGATGCATGGGTATGCACGGGGATGCATGGGTATGCATGGGTATGCACGGGGATGCATGGGTATGCACGGGGATGCATGGGTATGCACGGGGATGCATGGGTATGCACGGGGATGCATGGGCATGCATGGGTATGCACGGGGATGCATGGGTATGCATGGGCATGGGCATGCATGGGTATGCACGGGGATGCATGGGTATGCATGGGTATGCACGGGGATGCATGGGTATGCATGGGTATGCACGGGGATGCATGGGTATGCACGGGGATGCATGGGTATGCACGGGGATGCATGGGTATGCACGGGGATGCATGGGTATGCATGGGGATGCATGGGTATGCACGGGGATGCATGGGTATGCACGGGGATGCATGGGTATGCATGGGCATGGGCATGCACGGGGATGCACGGGGATGCATGGGTATGCATGGGTATGCATGGGTATGCATGGGTATGCACGGGGATGCATGGGTATGCACGGGGATGCATGGGTATGCACGGGGATGCATGGGTATGCATGGGGATGCATGGGTATGCACGGGGATGCATGGGTATGCACGGGGATGCATGGGCATGGGCATGCATGGGTATGCACGGGGATGCATGGGTATGCATGGGTATGCACGGGGATGCACGGGTATGCATGGGTATGCACGGGGATGCACGGGTATGCATGGGTATGCACGGGGATGCATGGGTATGCACGGGGATGCATGGGTATGCACGGGGATGCATGGGTATGCACGGGGATGCATGGGTATGCACGGGGATGCATGGGTATGCATGGGGATGCATGGGTATGCACGGGGATGCATGGGTATGCACGGGGATGCATGGGTATGCATGGGTATGCATGGGTATGCATGGGTATGCATGTGTATGCATGGGCATGCATGGGTATGCATGGGTATGCATGGGTATGCATGGGGATGCATGGGTATGCACGGGGATGCATGGGTATGCACGGGGATGCATGGGTATGCATGGGCATGGGCATGCATGGGTATGCACGGGGATGCATGGGTATGCATGGGTATGCACGGGGATGCATGGGTATGCATGGGTATGCACGGGGATGCATGGGTATGCACGGGGATGCATGGGTATGCACGGGGATGCATGGGTATGCACGGGGATGCATGGGTATGCACGGGGATGCATGGGTATGCACGGGGATGCATGGGTATGCACGGGGATGCATGGGTATGCACGGGGATGCATGGGTATGCACGGGGATGCATGGGTATGCACGGGGATGCATGGGTATGCATGGGTATGCATGGGTATGCATGGGTATGCATGGGTA